CTTTGGGTCACTGGTTATGTTTCATCTTCATAGCTTTTGTGTGTAGCTGAGACTTTGAGAATTAAATCAAAAGTTCTGTGTTTTATCACTTAATTCAAGAAGTCATTAATATATCATTAATTATGTCAAGTGCTAAAAAGAAAAAATGCTCGTAATATCTAACTACTGACTAAAAGCTACTTTCTCAAAGCAAAGAAAAATTCATATTTTTAGTATATCATATGTAATTTTATACTAAACTTAAGAAAATAAGTAGCAATGAAACTCAGCAGATAGAAGGTTAAATACTGACAGCTTTCAAATTTAACTTTTAACCTAAAATGTCTTTGGTTTTTGTTAACCCTGAATAAAAACAAGTAAGTTTTATATATTGATTATTCCTAAGTATACAGAACTGTTACACTTGCAGAACTCAATACAGCGTATCTGTGGTATTTAAATGTCATGGAGAGACAAGAAAAAAAATGCCTAAAAAGGGTCCTTAGAAGAAAGATCATTTTAGAAGGTTGGCAGCCAGGCATGGTGGTTCATACCTGCAATCCTATCTACTCAGAAAGCAGAAATTGGGAGGATAATGGTTTGTGGTCAGGCTGGGCAAAATTACCAAGAGCCCATCTCTACCAGTAACTCAAGTGTGGTGGTACACACATGTAAGCCCAGTCACATGAGGTGTAGGCTGGTGGATGCTGGTCTGAGGCCCATCCTGGGGGGGAAAAATGCAGGACCCTAGCTGAAAAGTAACTAAAAACAAAAAGAGCTGGGGACATGGCTCCATAGAGCATCTGCCTAGCAAGTGTGAGGCTCTGAGTTCAAACCCCAGTACAGCAAAAATGGAATTTTGAGCGACCCGAGCTATTCAATGTGGAAACTGGTCTTAAGTACTCCAGTTTGCTACGAGTACTGAAATGTCAGATAAGTATCAAAACACATCATAAAAAGAAAGAAACTCATTTAAAAAATTTTTAAAGGGTGGGGGATAAGGAAGTAATGGAGGGAGTGAATTTGATCAAGTACATTACATGTCCTATGGAAATATCGCCATGCAACTGCTTTGTACAATTAATACACGCCAATTTAAGAGTTCAGTGAGCATGAATGGAGAGAAGTTTAGCTTGTACAAGAATAACAAGCTCCCTCAAAACCAAGCCAGCGCTGAGTGAATCCGCAGCAAATGAGGACACTCAAGAAAGGCCTGTGCCTGTCGCCCGCTGCTCCCGGGGTCAGGGCTAACCCTCATTTAATGTCCTTTGGGAAACTGATTGAAATGGCAGGATTGGAAAGCTTTCTTCAGACACAAAAATGTAAACAACCAGAGAAATAAGAACCACTTTTATAAAGGTAACGAGGCCATAGCTTACAAACTTCCTGATGCTTCACAGAACAATGTCATTGCCAATGACAGCTAAATGTGGACATGCAGACCCATTTATTATACTCAGAACACTTGGTGTAAATCAAGCCATAAACTAAACACCTTTACAATAACAAGTCATTCAACACATATTTTTCTATTATTTCCAAGTTCATATTGCACTGTGAACCAGTGTGACCACAGGGAAACATCACAATTTCACCCATATTTTTGAGCATCTGTAATCTTTCACAGGTGTCCTAAAAGGGGAGCAAGGTCGTGACCTACAGGTCAAGCAATGACCATTAGGTGTTACTGTAACAGAAGGTACCTAAATGACCACAGTGTGTACATATGGTAGAGGATTATATGTGCATATTACTTACAAGGTTATTTTTCATTTTACAAAATGAATTCTGAGCAGCATGAAAAATAGAATTGTCAAAACTAAAGTTATAAAACTTGTGTCTCTTCATCAGGAATTTGGTCTCAAGTTCAACTGTAGTTTTCCATAGAATTGTAAATAATCAGAACTGAAGTAGGTTACAAGCTAAAGGGAGAAACCCCACATGTTCAAGTTGGCGCAGTCAGTCACAAACAAAGCCTACAATATCTACAAGAAATTTTTTTTTTACTGATTTGCCCAGCAACCACATAACTGTTCTAGCACAAAAATGTCGAGAATTTTCCTTGCCCAGCAGAGGTTTTTGAAAAGGGTAAATGCATCTTAGCATACATAATTTAGTTTGCAACAAACCACAAAAACGAGGGGGAAGAAGCCTGAAGAACAAATACACATTTGCTGTAATAATCTGATCAAATGCCACTAAAACATTCTTCGTCAAACCTTTTTGAAATCCTTACAATGCTCTGCAGTTAGCTAAGAAGTTAAAAGTTCTTTTTTCAATCAACATTGACCTTATTCTATCATCAATTTAACATCCTACCTCACTTTACAGTCTTAAATTGCAAAGGTGCTCAGCAAATGAAAATATGTAAGACTAAGTGACGATGGCTGTTGACTCTGGCTGCGGCCCTGGACTTTCCAAGTGCTTCTGCAGACATGCCACATGCTGCAGAAGACTGCTGCCTGCACTGTGAGCAAGGTTACACATCAGTGTCAGCACAACTCCTTGGGATCAATCAAATGCGTTTCCATATTGATTTCTCTTACAATGATCAGGCCAAGGTTCTCAAAGGGAAATCAAGTTTTATTCCATTTACTTTACCAACAAAGCAGCACAAAAGTTGCTTAGCAGCAGACGTTAAAAGGGACAAAAGAAATTGAGTGTAACTGCCATTAGCAGGAATCTCTGGTGAGCAGACAGTGCTCCATTACGACTGCAGTCACCAGGGAGTTTTAATTATTAAACAGTAAGCCATATGCCGGAGTAACAGGAGACAGCTCAGTAATTAAGAATGGAAGGAAACAGTAGTTCTTAATCTGCTTCTACTCCACTTTTTGATACTGTGAAGACATTTTCTTAGCAGAAAAATCTAGATATAAAATAATGCTAAGTCTGGAAAGACGATGAGGCTAATTATATCGCAACAACTAAATTTCTGTGTTTACAGATTTACTTAGGAGTCTGGAAAAACAACTGGCCCTCAGTTGTGTCATGTATGTGTGTATATACGGTAAATGAAGGACCAATACCAGCTTTGCTACTGACTTATTTTGACAAGCCCTCTCTTTAGAGCCTGATTTCTTTGACTATAGAAATGGATAATCATATTTGTCATTAGATAATCAAAACAGATTCAGAAATCCCTATGAAAAACAAGGAACCATTATTTATAATGACACTAATTCTCTTTGGCTTGATGGTCCTTACAGAAAGCATCTAAGAGAAAAGCATCTAGGAGCCAGGCACATGCCCCCTCACAAGTCCAGGGAGACTGATGTGGCCAGCAATGGTGACGAGCAGTGAAAGTAAATATCCTGCCCCTTGGCAAGGAAAGCCACTTAACTATTTTGAATATGTACTGATCCAGACCACCCATGTGTATAAAGGAGCTTCTCAAATTCGTAAGTCTTGGACATTTCACAGATGTAAAAACTTTGAAACACTGCAGTATTATGAGAGCTAACAGAAATACATAAGGAAACACAAATCTGAGTTCATCAGTAAGCCAGGCACATGCCTGTAATCCCAGCACTCAGGAGACTGAGGCAGGATGGTTTCCATTTCAGGACAGTCTGAGCTATACAGTGATGCCCTGTCCCAAAAACCCAAGGGCTAAGGGCTAAGGATGTAGCTCAGTGGTTGAGAGTTTGCTTAGTATGCACAAGGCCCTTGATTCAAACTCCAGCACCACAAAAACAAACAAGCAAACAAATAAAGCAAAAAACAACAACTTGGCCTAGCAAAACTGAACATAAATATCCATAGCTACATTAGAAGATATAATCAATTTAAAAAATATATTCTGAACCAAAGCAGCAGATTATCTGCATATTATAGAAATTAAGCACTATATATTATATTGAGTATCAATACACACAGGATCCAAATTATATCATAAATTTAAAATTATAAAAATCTGACTTTTAAAAGGGAGATGAATACATATCAGCTGTATCACAGAAGATTCTAAGTGGATGTATTGTGAAAGTTTCCAAATCCTGAGTGCTATGGCTTCAACATCAGGGAGGCTTCCTAAATCCTCCGGCTATTAAAACTCTTGATTTTATTTAAAAAAAGAAAGAAAGAAAAAAGATAAGCCCCACACATCTTTAATCTAAAAATACCCATATATTTCAGGGCTATTTTCAAAGTGAAAAAGAAAGCAAAATTAAAACAAACAAATAACAACAGCAAAAAACAATCTCCAAGAACTAAGAAAAATATAAATAAGCCAAAACCAAAAATATATCCCCACCAAAGCTCACGCCACTACGAATAATTGCTAAATAACTTTAAAAATGAAGGTGCTATTAGAAGTTGAGATGGCAAATACAGTCATAAAAGGCAGTAAGACAAACAGAATGAATGGGTGGTAAAATATTTCGTTCAAGTTGTTTCTAGGTCTCTTGTCAAATAAACTTAGATACAAGCTTCAGGGACACGAAAAGCAAACACTCTAGAATTTCTGAGAATGAAAAGCTAACACATTGGGAACATAAATAGCACGCAGTGAGCCTAACCTAACTGAACTCTCAGGCTAAGATTTTCCTGTACTTGAGTTCAAAGGATTTTCACCTTGCTCAATCAGTTTCATGACTTGATGTAAAGTCTTCCAGAAAAATTTGATTATTTTTTTCTTTTGCCTTAAAGCTTCAGATACACAACTTTTGAGTGCAAACTGTCACTTTGGGTCTTCTTAGCTTTCAGTTTGAACTTGTAGACTCACATGGCACTGGTTGCATGAAAGAGCCACAAACTAGGAATCACCATAGCTGAGCTGGAACAAAAGTGTACTGTATAGCAATTTTGAAAGTTCTGAAAAGTACTTACTTGAAGAGCTCGAGAAAAAGGGATACGTTCTGGAAAACACAATTAACTGAAAAGTAAAGCAAAACAACAACAAAAAACCCTCTATCTCGTTTTCTTTTCACACCCCTTAAATCAAAAGAAAAAAGCTGCATTAACAAGATGTGGCATCTTTGCTGCACCGTCACTCACTCTGGACAGCCACTCTGCCTTACCTTCAGACGCTTTGATCACATAGCCTCCCTTGTCTTCACCAGGAGGCACATCGAGCAGCTGCATAATTCTGTCCAGCAGCCCGTGGATTATCTCAAACCCAGGATTCTTGTTGTAATAAACAGCACAGAGGTGCCTGTAGTTTTTTGCACCAACATCTGGAAAAATACAAGAAGTGGTCACAAAGTCACAGTAACTATTATTTAAGGAACTGGCATGCCCCAACACAACCAAACACAAACTTGGTCAATGTCAACAAAAAAAAAGAAAACCAATTATTTAACATAGAGAAAAGCATTTAGCCTCAGAAATGCTGGATGAGATAACATAGGCTTTTTAACCATCGATGGTATTTAATTTGAGGGAGGAGTAAGTAACCCTCAGTGCCTGCCCTAGGACAAAAGGCAGTTGTAACTCTTAGTAAACAATTTAGGAATATTTATCAGTATTAAAACTCCATGATATTATCCAAAGGAAATAATCCTAAATACAAAAAAAGGCTTGACGTAGAAAGACATTTACTACAACAATATTTCCAACGGTGAGAATTAGAAACAACAAGGCTGGTGGAGTAGCTCAAGTGGTAGGGTGCCTGCCTAGCAAGTGCAAGACCCTGAGCTCAAATCCCAGTGCCACCAAAAATAAATAAATAAATAAAAGACAAAGGAAAATAAAATTAGAAACAACACAGGGATAACTACATAAAGTACTATGGTTATTTCTCAGAATACGAAGATGGCTGCTAGAGTTTATGGAGTTTATCATAGCAGAGCAAGAGCAAATGGTATTTAACAACAACAACAATAAAAAACAAGACCACAAAGTTAAAAAGGAGTCAAAACTACATTGTGTTGGGCTAAGAATCAAGCTTAGTAGTAGAGTGTTTGCCTAATATGTATAAGGCCCTGGGTTCGTATGCCCAGCACCACAAAAAAAGAAAGGAAGAAAGTAAAAAAGAAAAAAGTTAGGCTGATGGCTGCCCCAGTACAGAGATGTGCGTGATGGTGAGGCGTCATGCAGGTGCTTAGGATCCAGGCAATACTCCATTTCTTAATTTGGGTGATAGTTATGGTAGTATTTGCTTTATTATCTTTTAAAAACTACATATATAAAATTTTATATAATTCTTCATAATTAAAACATGGAAAAACAGTAAAATAAAGAAAGCACATGAAGTTATGCCACACCATGCATGCACCTTGAGGCCATTATGCTGAATGAAACAGCCAGTCGGTAGGACAAATAGCCAGTCAGTAGGACAAACGCCACACAAGTGCATTCACGTGAATATCTGAGGCTGAGCCACATTCCAGCCCATGGTACCCACAGTCTTAATCTCACAGAAACAGAGGAGGATGGTGGCTACAGGGCTGGAGGGGGTTTAGTGGGTATAGAATTTCAGCCATAGAAGATGAAAAAGCTGCAGAGCTGTCTATATGAGAATGTGTACACAGTTAATCATACTCTACATTTATAATGTGTAAGAGGGTAGCTCTTATTTTTAGCACAAAAAAAATAATAGAATCAAAACTATGTACAGAAAGCCATAGCCAAAAACCTCCATGATTTAGAAAAAAAAAACTGAGAAGAAATCTATCCCTTAACAGAGGTTAAGTTTGGGTAGGGATTTTTTTTTTTTTCAACTTTTATCCTTTTCTCAATTTTGCTGTAACTAGTACATATTATCCACTTTGAAAATATAAGTAAACTTCAAAAATTCTAAATTTTAAAGAAGAATTACAATACAAATGAACCATGATATATGACTAGATAAACAAACTGGTATGTCTGTACAGTAGAATACTACTCAGCAATAAAAAGGAACAAACTGCTGCTGAATTGCACAACTTGGATAAATCTGGAAGACATGGTGCTGAATGAAACAGTCCAGTCTCACACAGCTGTGGAGAATGTGAGGCCATTTATGTGACACGCTGGAAAAGGCAGAACTTCAGCCACAGAGAGCAGACAGTGTTTGGGTGGATGTGGGACAATAGGGGGGTTTCTGAGGCGATGGAATGTTCCAGGTCTTATGGCGAGAGTTTAAAATGCGCACAGCATGCAAAGGAAAATCAGAGTCAACAGCGTCATTTAACTTTACAACTGGCATAAGTACCACGGCTCTTTAATAAATTCTACTGTCCATTTGTGCTCTTCACAAACGCCGGGTGAATACTGGCTTCATTTTGCTATTCAAATTAGGAAAAGAGAAAGAGCAAGGTAACACCTGAGAGAATACACTGAAGACAGAAAGCTGCTTCATATCAGCACACGCCAAGCGAAAGCTCTCCTGGGAACTAACAGGTGACAGCTACTAACCACAGATGACATAAAGATGCCTTTATCTTCCAGATACTCAAATAAAACGTGAATATTTCACGACACTGTACTCTGTTACTAAAGTCTGAAAAAGGCGAGTTTGAATAGAAGAAGGAAATCTGTTGGGGGGCAGGGGGTGTGGCTTGAGTGATAAGAGCACCTGCCTAGCAAGCATGAGGCTCTGAGTTCAAACTCCAGCACCAACTGACAAAAAAAAGAAAGAAAAAGAAACCTGTCAAATTGTTCTAAGAAGGGGAGAGAGGGAATGATGGAAAATGATGGAGGGGGTGAATCTAATTAAGATATATTGTAAGCACATGTGTATCTGCCACAATGAACTCCCCCTTGCACAACTAATATTTGGTAATAAAAACTGTTTTTAAATAAGATGATAAGCTGATGGAGTGGCTCAAGTGGTAGAGTGCCTGCCCTGAGTTCAAACCCCAGTACTGCAAAAAAGAAAAAAAGAAAAAAAAAAGGTGATCATATAAGCAAGGTGAAAGGGAATTCCTATTTACTTACAAACTATGTATCAGGTATTTAGTGCCTACCAATCAATCTATGATCTTACTTAATTCTCAAGACAGCCATGCAAGGCATGTATTACCCCTATAAAACGTAGAGGAAGTGTGGCTCATGCAGTAGAGTGCCTGCTTTGCTCTCTACTGAGTTCAAACGCAGCCCCACCAATAAATAAATAAATAAATGGAGAAACAAAATCCTACATGGTGCACCATGAAGGATTCAGAAGAGAAGCAATATAATCGAAGGACCATGTATGCAATGGCCATACATCTACTCAAATCTATCTAGTCAAAGATGTGCATTCTTGAAAAGTTTTTGGCATAATAAACAGATGTTTTAATTTTTAAATTTAAGAATTCCATCTAAGCAATTGAAATAAATTATTTTTAACAGTTGGTGAAGTTTCTAGGCACCAAAAATATTTTACCTTATGGCAAATATGCTGAGCTAAACTTGAGATTAAACAGACATAGAGAAATAACATTTTTTGCCATTTAACATGTCTTAGAGCATTCTATGTTCCAGGCTTTCTGCTCTAGTTATCCCTAGATGGGAAAAGTCAAAGCCAATACAGGGCTTGCACAAACTAAAGCCTCAATAATTCTTTTCTGAATAAACGATTAAATCTGGAAAAGGAGGTAAGCACACACAAACTACTATTAAGCAGGGTCAGGAGCAGAGAGCAGGCCATATTGTAACAACACAAGAGCCAGCGAGATAAGAAAGAGCGCCACACTGCTGCTGCTCACCATCATTTCTGGTTTCAAGGATAAAGATCAACATGAAAATCAAAAAGGCATAAAGCTCACTAAACAACATCACATGCATGTACTAAAACGAGCAGCCTGAACCTATGGTAGGATCTCTCTCTCTCTTTCTCTCTCTCTCTCTCTCTTTCCTCCTCCTCCTCCTAAAGGGAAAAGAATGAAATGAAACAGAACTCAATTACCCTTTCATACTACAGAAGCAGCATACATACTGCTTCTGGGTATCTCTGCCATGTGGTGCCCATTTGCTGGTGTCACATGCTTCCATTTTGACACACAAGCGCACACTGAAAGGACTTTGTAGTTCCATTTGACGGGAGGAACAGTAACGCCAGCACTCAGAGCGCTTGGCAGCACACGCTAGAAGCTTTATTTTGGTAACCTCTGCCTTGCAGTACTTCTTTCCTCATCTCCAAACTATGCAAAACTTGCCTTTCTGATAAGAGTAGCAACATCTGAATCAAAAACAAAGATCTTTTAAAAACAAATTAAGTGATTTTAGTGATCAGAACAATGAAATTAGAATAAAAATACGGAACTTAAAATATTAAATTCCACCTTATTTAAGAAAAGAGTTCCGTATGTTCACAGTACACATGCACAACAATAAACCATATACTTTTAGATTTAATTTTGAAATATTTTAAAAGAAAGGCCATTGACTTTTAGGGCTCTGTATTAAACCCACCATAATAATTAGATTAACTTCATTATTTAGGTGCGTCTCCCCACACCCCCCAAGGGCTACCGCTCCCTCCAGACTTGCTTTCCATCTTACTGAGATACTCCCTCTACTGTAGCTGAACTGAATTAAAGGAGAAAAGAATCATACACTTGGTTTCCACCCGTGCCTCCTTAGAGAAATTGCTAGTATACTAAAATCCCCATTTCCTAATATTTAGCACTGAGAGACCACATTACATCACAGGAGTTCACAGACTGCACGCCACAAAGTAAGAACTATTTAAATTTCATGCCAAAGCTAGGGTTTGTTGGAAATGCCTCAGTTCTTTATAACTCAGTTAACAGACCTCTTGTGTCATGCCATCAAACAATTCTGCTTTTGAAATGGGCCTGCCAAGTATGTCAGCCTAAATTATCCATGTATTTCACAGACTTCAAAGCACTGCCTGGAGAGGGCAGATCTAAACCACCAAAGGAGGGGCAGCAAGCTAGCTCTGGAAGCTGAAAGAACACGCCAAGTCATTTTTTTTTCTTTACAAAGAATGGTGCATGATATCCCCAGTATATGATTGTATGTACAATTCAGGTTTTTGGAATAGACTCCTGCTTGGTACAGAGGTGATTAGAAGTAAATTAGAGGTGCTTAGCAATACTACGTATGGCACAGACCAAAACAGGGCAGCTCCGAGAGACCCTCTCCATCCATCTCCACCCCCGGCCTCACATTCACTTGCAGCCCAAGAAAAGATGCTGGGAGAGAGCCTGCAGGAGCCTGCAGGGAGACCAAAAAGGCTTCTAGAGAATCAGGGGCTGGACAAGCTCAGAAAACACCATCCAACAAGTTTATTCAGTATCTGCCCACA